CAGTACATTCCTACTTTTCTCCACTAGAACCCCCACTTTGACATTTTGTTCAATGAAAGGGACAGCATCTCAATTATTTAGCCGGTGCACTTTGAGTAGAGGAATGTCAAGCAGTGTCTTCTTAATGTGGATTTCAATGACAGTATATCATTCACAACTTAGCTGGTGAAGTGACTGGCACTGGTGTCTTGTTCACTGCCTCTTTTCCAGACATGAGACATGTGGCTGACACTTTTGTAGTACAAGCATCACATACACTTTCCTTGTATTTTACTTCACTGGCTCAAACAATCCATTGCAATAAGATTTAGATCATTGAATATGTAGCAGATTATATTACATTATGGATCAGAGGTGGGAGAGAACCTCCATATAATCTTATATTGATTTTGGAGCTGTTACAACAGGTCCCTCCACTATGGTCTCATCTTCATGCAGCCAAGAAGTTCTGCTACAAGCATTCATACTAGACTATCTTCAAACATTTAATTTTCGACAGTTCTGTCAAGCATACATCCATAGATTTCCCTGGGCACAAGCACCATGTTACAAATTGTTTGTACACCAAAAACAAATCTATTGCAAATAACAGGATCTCCTCATTCACAACATTCAAAACCGTATATAAAGCACTGTTTATCCAATTTGCATCAAACCTCTCAATAAATTTTCTCCCCACCAGGCACAGAAGGAGAACCTGCTCAATTCCTTTTATCTGCACAGGTTACACAATAACCCCATGTTTTTGAACTCATTTAATACTGAACGGACCAGACATTGAGCTATCAAACTAAAAAAAAAAAGATTAACTTTATGTTGAATTTGCTGTCTGTTAATTTTAACAGAAATATCTTGTACCATATAATGGTTTTTCAGTAGCTTTCAATCTTTCTTTCTACCTCACGGTATAAAGCCAATTTATGCCTCTTGTTCATGCGATATCAGCATTTTTATTGGGTAAAGTGATTTGCAAATCAGCCATTCCACCAGTGCCAACATTTTTACTTCCACTAACATGATGCCCAGCAAAAAAAAAAGTACAAAAAACACATGGCAGTTTCTTTTTTTGTTTTTTAGATTATTCCCTATAAGAATCAGAATTTAATTTTCTGAATTCTAAAAAAGAAATAACATCCGCCTTTCCCTAAGTGATTTCAGAAAAATGTGTCTTTCCAAGTGGTTAGGAAAATAAGTCAACCGAATGTGAGTGTGTGCTGTAATGCAGTATACTGTGAGGATACCTACTGTAGTTCAGATGATGTAAAGTTCATTTTCACCAATCAATTCATTAATGTAATTTTCAATCTCCCTCGATGTTCAACTACTGTGACTTTGTGTCTGACTAATGTCACAATGAGAGAAAGAGAATCACCCTGAATTTCCAGAATTTGAGAAAATGCATCAGTTATATAACTGAGTGTACTTGGATGTCTAACAATCATCATTAGTGGTTTCTTCATCCTATTATTATCCTATCATCTTTTATGCACAGTGACCCTTCAAGACATGAGCAATCAATAGCTTTCAAAAGTTTCATATCCTTTGTAGCTCTAAGCAATGTTTATCCCCTTATTTTTCCTAGTCCCTGTTCTAGCATCCATTTATACAAGCTCATAAGATAGGTTACTTTATGATTCTCTTTGACCCTCTTGACTTCAATATGTTATATGAATGTCAAATTCTCTAAGGATTCTTTCCTCATTAAATGTTCCCAAAATTTCAACTATTTCTCATGCTAAGTACAAGTTTCCTTTGTGTTCCTATTTTCCTTAAAATTTCTCCATTGTTCAAATGTTCTGCTCATGATATTGTCAGCATCCTTCTGTAAAACATCTGTTGCCTCGTCGCTTCATCTGTGGGGAAATTGTTGAGCAGTCAGTCATATAAGAGGAATGATATTACACAGCAGTTCAGCACTATTTGAATAAGGTTTGCCAGTTGTTTTTTTATTAAAATCCTCACTGTCACTATCTAGAAACAAATTTTTCCTACTTCTGGATAATGAAATTCACCAGCCTGGCACTAGAAACTGGACTATTAAATTCAGGATATACAATTCAACATTCTAAATAAGTTATAACATAAACCCTAAAAGCAATATCAAGTACAAACAGATGTCCCTGAATTAGACCTTAAATTTCCTGTCCAATAAGTCAAAGACAACATTTGCATGGCTTTCAGAGCAGAAAACTAGAAACACGATCTGTCCTTAGGGAGAAAAAGTCTACAGCACAAACCGGATGATGAAAAAAAAAAAATAAAGAACAAGTCCACACCCAATAGGAATAATCTACAATCCACAGGAAATATGATCCTTTCTATTACTTTAAATAATCTAAAAGTTTCTTTCAGCACTCTAAAATTCCATAAATATATATATATATATATATATATATATATATATATATATATATATATATATATACACACTTAAGTACTGTTTGTCTGATAACCAAGATACACACAGCACATGCATATATTGAAAAAATCTTTTTTAATTATAAAGTACATACATAATCAAATTTCTAACAAAAATTTCTAAAAGTTTTATTTTAATTTTGTGAACACATGATATATTTTTAAAACTTACAAGATATTATACCAAATTATCAAAATTCTTTAGTATGCTTAATGACAACAAAAATGTCAATAGTAGAAGAGATCTTTTACAAGAAGCAAAATATTCATTTGAAGCTTTTAAAATGCTTGTACATATTACTTTTGTAATGACATGTTATTTATAAAATTGGAGATATATGGCACTTTCTTTCCCTTAAACAGGCTAAAAGTTCCAAATACAAATAATTAAAAGTCGCAGATAAATACTATGCTATATTTATAGGTCAATATTTAAATGTAAAATTCTATTGGGGGATTTGTGTTTAGGATTTCCACATTTAGTTGGTCAAAAGAGTATGCCTTCAGCTTTAGAGAAAGCAATTCACTGAAGATACAAATGCAAGAGCAAAAAGAACTGGAATATATAAGCTTAGAGTAATTTCAATTCAACCAGTTATCTTTCAAGTAATAGTGTCATTGTAAAAAAATTCAATTCAGAGAGGGTTTTAAGCAGGGTCACTATTGGAAAAGACATCAGCATAACTTCATACATTTTATTATGACACTAACCTGCTATTATGTAAACACACTGTCTGACCTGAAGGAAAAGTAAATGCTGAATAGTAGGGAAAATGACATTCCACTTCAGAGTTAACTGTATTAGCAGAAAGGGTAGCAAGTATTCAAATCAACAGATAACAAAAGCTAAAAGAAAGTTTGTGTTTGAATGTGTGTGTTATCAATACAGAAAGCAACATCAGCAAACCATGTTTAAGTTCTGACAGAATCTGTTGCATTTACTTTCGCACTAATACTCTATGGAAAAGCATGGATTTCTTCTACTAAAAACTATCAATTAAAAAGCAGAATAATAATGGGCTTTCTTGCTGTGGGTGGCAACCAGTCTAAAAGGGAAACTGAATTCAATACCAGCTTGAAAAGGAGGAGATTCTGTCATGCCTTATACATAGCCACTGTTGTTATAGCTTCAGTACATGTGGTGAACCAATGGGTCATAGGACATGTAATCATGACTGAGGTGTTTAGGCATATAACATTTTTAATAACTAAAAAGTAAGTAAATTACGAATGTGCATGTAGTTGAACAGATATTTAATTAGCAAGCCAAGTTTAGATCCCAGCCTTGTCCCATGCTCACTTTCATACAAATGTCCTTGGGAAAGTCAAATATGTCTCTCCTATTCTAGCTAGAGAATTGAAAGTGTTCTCTAGCATTGGGTTTCAATAAATCATTAAAAAATGAAACTAAAATAAAAGGAATCTCTGAATTCCAAACTGTGAAAAAGGTAACAGGAAACCTCTCCACTATTTCCCATGAATGGGTAAATATAATAGAGAATCATACAAGCCACTACTAGAGAAAATTTTAATGGAGCAACTTTTAACAAATATCCATATAACTTTAAGATGCACTTACTGCCTTGATTGTTTTTTTAATTTATAGAATCTATTAGAAGATTCCTGTTTTCCCTCTTTTAATAAAACCTACACAATATAATTTTCACACAAATCTGAATTATGAGAAATAAATAAAGACCTTTTATATATACAACAACCTATGTTAAAAATGTTATATTTTTTAGTATCTACTATTCCCAACTAATAATACTGACATGTTATTATTTACCCTTAAAGATAATTGACAAAGTGTCAATCAAAATAAAAATAAAAAACAAGATCTCACTTAACATAAAAAAGAAACAGGCAATGATGCATCAATAGTCAAATAGAGAATAATTGAAGTCCAAGTGTAATTAAAAAAAAAACACTTAACAAGTTAATGCTAAGCATACAAGGCATTCATCCAAGTATAGAGCTAATGTTTACCCATGGGAGTGTGGTCATATTAGATTATTGCCATTATTCTTTTGAGTTGCATTTGTATTGAATGATTGCCACACACATGGATGCACATTACCAGGCTCCATTTCATTCAGCAGACAATAGGAACCTCGTGATTCAATAGAACCATTATGATCTAGTTGATTTCTATTAATGCAACACTAAAGCAATGTATACCCAATTCTGATATCTTTGGACTATTCAACTAGGAATAAATAAAATAGAAAATAAAGAAAGTTTTATTCTTCCATATAGAAAAAAAAAAGATTAAGTTATACTTCTTATGCAAATGCTTACATTTTTGTATCATCATTGATGATGCTAATCCCACATTTGTTAGATACAGAAGGTAGAGACCAGAGAAACATTTGCACAAACACCATTAGATCAGGGAGGTAAAAGAAGCTATTATTATATCTAATACAATTCGGTTAAGGTAGTTTATCTATTTTAAATATGCACTTTCAGCTTTATGCGAGATTTGATCTCAAATATTTTTCAGCTCATCAGCATAATTAGAGTAAAAATTTGAAATTATAGACGGAAAGTCATTTTTTTTTTATTGATCAGTCTAGTAATTAGGAGGGGGGAAAGCAGGTGGGGAGAGGAAGAGAGGGAGGGAAAGAGGGGGAGAGGGAGATAAAAGAGGGAGAAGAGGAAAAGGGAGGGGAGAAGAGGAAAAGGGAGGGAGAGGGAGAAGAGGAAAAGGAGGAGAAGAGGAAAAGGGAGGGAGAAGAGGAAAAGGGAGGAGAGGGAGAAGAGGAAAGGGAGGGAGAAGAGGAAAAGGGAGGGAGAGGAGAAGAGGAAAAGGGAGGGAGAAGAGGAAAAGGAGGGAGAGGGAGAAGAGGAAAAGGAGGGAGAGGGAGAAGAGGAAAAGGAGGGAGAAGAGGAAAAGAGGGAGAAGAGGAAAAGGAGGGAGAAGAGGAAAAGGAGGGAGAAGAGGAAAAGGGGAGGGAGAAGAGGAAAAGGAGGAGAAGAGGAAAAGGGAGGGAGAAGAGAAAAGGAGGGAGAAGAGGAAAAGGGAGGGAGAAGAGGAAAAGGGAGGGAGAAGAGGAAAAGGGAGGGAGAAGAGGAAAAGGGAGGGAGAAGAGGAAAAGGAGGAGAAGAGGAAAAGGAGGGAGAAGAGGAAAAGGGAGGGAGAAGAGGAAAAGGAGGGAGAAGAGGGAGAGGGGGGAGAAGAGGGAGAGGGAGAAGAGGAAAAGGGAGGGAGAGGGAGAAGAGGAAAAGGGAGGGAGAGGGAGAAGAGGAAAGAAGGGAAAGAGGAAACGGGTAGAGAAAGAGAGAGAGATCTTAAAAATGTTGATGAAATCTCTATCCACTGGTTAAATATATACTTTAGACAAGTTTGTCATGTTGATAGCTCAACATGTGAGAGGCAGGTATGTTGCTTTTTGGAAAAGGATATTATTTTTTACATACCATACAGCTAGACAGGTAAAGGAAAAATAAACACCCAAATTCAGACTTGCATAAAGAATATCTTTTTGAGCAGTTGTGTGACTATTCCACAATCAATATCAAATGTTTTATTTAAATAAAATTCCTTTTATTTTTAATATAGGACATTTTTAATAGACTGATATTTTTATATTTTGCATAACACAGGAAAAATAAGTAAAGGCATCTTAACATGGTTATTCTCATCAAAGAAATTTGTGGTTATCTATATTTTCGATAATATTCAAAGCAAACTTCTCTGCTGCTAACCAATAAAATATTTTTAATGGTTTAGTCCAGCTTTGTGGCAGTAAATCTCCAATATTTAACAGTATAAATATTTCTTCTGCTGCTACCACTGGTTTTATATGTGACACATTTCATATTTGATAGGATTCAAACGACCTCTATTTTCATTAGCACAATCAGAAGAAGAATATATGAAGGCATGCTGAAAAGTTCTTGATCCGACCCACTTCCTCCAGAACTGACCAAATTATCAAACATCAGATTTTCCTTTGGAAAGGTTTTGTGGTTGCCTCTGCACCTCATATAACCACATTTATTATTAAATCCTATTCATCTTTACAGCTTTTCAACCAGTAGAAAAAGAGATTCACAAAAATGTTGAAGCTTATTCCTAAAATGTTTGAAGCTGAACAGTCAGCTTCTGATCAAAGGTTTTTTTTCTCTTTTCCATAATAATCATGCTATTCATCAATTTTCTTTTTCATATTGGTTTGCAAGATATTAGTTTGGAATTCCCGAAGTATTAAAACAAAAATATCTACTTCCTGATACAAGGAAAATGCCTCTTTTCTAATATATCAAAATATATTGCATAATGAAAATCTATTCAGTTAGTATTTATATTCATAACCAAAATTGTCCAAATTTTCATTCAAAGGGTTATTTAAGAAAACACATGGTAGCACATTCAACTAAATCTCAAGTTGTGTCATATTCTCAATGTTATCTTCAAAATATGATAATGACTACTTTTATATGATCCAGGCATTAATTTCTCAAAAGCCCAACTTAAATTTTGCTGATACTATATACAGAATGTCCCTAAAGTCTGGACACAGGAAATCCCATTAACTATATATTTTTTTTACCTCCACAGATTAAACATGGTTCTATAGAAAGAAAAAAGAGGTGAATTCTTTTTCTGGGGTATGCTGAAGGAGAAGATGTACTCAATGAAAATCACAGATGCAACATGCTTGATTGAACACAAAGAGTGAATGTGCTAAAATTGATGGCAATGTGGAGTTATTGCATCAAGTTCACATTAATCCTGCAAAGTGCATCAGCCTTTGCATCACAAATGATGGAGATCATATTGAAGATGCTATTTGTTAATATTCCAATTCAATAAAATGTTGCTGAAAATGTCATTTCTTGAAAATATTCATTTTTGCCTATGTGCCATGATTTTAGGGATACCCTCTATTATAAAAGATTTCTAATCCTTCTAAAAATGCTTAAAAATGTGTAGATTACAATCGATTTTTAATTAAAATATAAGCAGTATGCAGATGCATAAAATATTAAACAAATAATTATCATTTAATTCAAATTTGAAAAACAAGCATAGGGGTTAAAAATAATTCTTCTAATTCATACAAATTAATCTATATTACATAGCTTTAGACATTACACTACCTTTATCTCATCGACATCTTCACATACTTACAGAATCAGAGCCCCAAATCTCGCAACACAATTTGTTTCAGTTTACTTTCTCCATATGATTGGTATCTAAAATCCTCATTCTTATGCCAAAATTTTAAAACATATCCTTTTCTTTAGAAAACTGAAAAGCATAAATCGACAAAGAAAAAAACCCAAAAGAAATAATGTAGAGGAATCAAGTACTATAATGAGGATTATTTTTTCAAAAATTTTTACATTCGTAAAACAAATATTCAACACGACTAATGTTGACTGTAGTTAATGTCTGTCTCTTAATTTTTATTTAGCTAAAGTTTTTCTTTTCTTTTCAAATGCAGATATAACTTGAAATTTAAATATAAATTGCTTTTCAAAACTAAATTCTCAATGTATCTTGCTTCTACATTTTCAAAATAGTTAGTAATTAATATTTAAAAGTAAAACTTTATTTACTTAAAAAAAAATTTAAATTCCCCTCCAAAATAAATAGGAAATAATTATTTTTTGAAGATGTAAGACTCATAGTTTTTGCTTGAAAAAAATGATTAAATATGTTCATTTTCATTTAATAAAGGTTAAGAATTGAGAATTAAAACATTTTGTGAATATATTCATATACAAAATGTGTGTGCTCGCATATGCATGTTTTGACATCACAGTCTAATAGAAAGTCCCAGAAACAAAAATTCTTCCAATCTATGAATAAAGAAATTCAAAGCTGACCTTGGTGGTCATTTAAGGTCAACAAAGAGCACAGCATGACATTTCTAGCCAAATGAAGCAATTTCAAACAAAATGTACAGAAATATTGAGTCTGCTATAGAATACAAAAAATGTGAGGTCAGATAAGGTCAAATTTGACTTCCAAGGTTACTTGAGGTAGAATTAGTTGGAGCTTTTATGATCTGTATTGCAGTCCAACAATTTCATTCTTGGAGGTCAATTCGTATGTGGGGGTAACTTGGTTAATAGATGAGAGGTTAAGTGGCACTGATCTCCAAGGTCATTGAACATTACCAAAGTTTCATTCTGGATTAAACAACTGAAGAAATAAACTCAGAGCTGTTACATCCAGAGTTTTACCTGTAAAAATCAAGTAACACAGTTCAAGGCAAATTTGGGAGCTGTTTAGAATACCATTGAGCTGCATGCAGTTTCTCCTCACTAAAAAACAGGATATCCATCAAGCTTCTTAGAAATTTCAACTCTCCAAAGTTGTGCAATAGAACACACATAGCTGTTTAGCAAATAGGCAGAAACGAGGACATGTCCATTCCCAGTAACCACATAATTCCAACAGACTGATGTTTTGAATTAAAGAATTTTCAATTCCTAATGATAATTGAGTAGCAACAATCTCTCAAGATCTCTGACCTCAACCTCACTTCTACATACATTTCCTATGGTCAGCTCTATCTTGGTTCTTCAAAGGATGGAACCCATACAAACTTTTCAACCTAGGGCAATACATTTTTATTTTGGTCATCAGAATATTTTTTCAGTAACAGCTTTTTTTATATGTAAATAATATATTTTTCACTTATCTAGGGAGAAATATATTCAAAAATATATTTTTCCTGCAACATATTTGAACTTACATTTCCCCAGACAATGCCAGGTATCCATGCTAGAATATATTACAGTACAAGAGTAATGACATATTGCATGTTTCTATTGATCTTCATATTTCTTTTATCCTTTTCTGGATGACAATACTTTTATAATCAGAGTTTTATAAAGTAACCATAACTATATTCACAGGTCATCTTTGGCTTTTACATCTTAAATTTCACAAAGATTATTAAAAAACTTATTAAATACATTTTTTTTGTGTGTGTGTGTGTGTGTGTGTGTGTGTGTGTGTGTATGGAGGTATTTATAGAGGTACCTCCAGTTTTTTGCTATAAATGAGCATAGCACAATGAAAAAGGCCCCAAGCTTGATGAAAACAATGTTTAAGCTACTATTAAGAGGAAAAACCAAAGTACTTTTCAATTATTTTATTAACTTTTTTATATGCTTTCTAGAATGCTCAAAATTTTGGTTAAAAAACTTGTTTTTCTTGCATTAACAGTGGGCCAAAGATTACTATTGAAGTTTAGTGCTTTTTCATGGTAAAAACACATTGTTTCGGAAATTCTTGCAAAAATCAAATTATTGTCAGATTTTAATGACATTTTCAGGACTTATTCACAAATGAATGAAATAATTTTTTTATTTTTTTTAACATCTGTTACTGCCACTCCTTACTTAATGAAATTTCCAGAAATTCAAATTTCAACCTCTTCATATTTATATTAATTAAAAGCAAGAGTCCTTGGAGAATTTAAATCATCATTTTTATTTATTTATTTTTTTTTGTCAAACAGAAACACCATTTACCAAAAATCTGCTCGGAATCATAAAATAAAAATGATATTAAATTAGAAGAGTTTTTTAATTGCTTTTATAAATAAGATATATTAAGGAGACTATTGTCTTAAGAAAAATTTATTAAATTTTAAATCTTAAAATTCTGTATTAATTTCAGCCTTTTAGATTATACTATTAAGTGAAAACCATATTTACTAATCATAAACGGAAAACCTTAACACAAATCATCACACACCACTATTTTTAAAAGAATTTTGAATTTTTCTTATTAGTGTATAAACATGTCAATTTTTGTAAGTACCATAAACCATACGCAACATTATCAGTAAATAAGAACAAAATTTAAAGCCAAAATTTCTAAACTTCAATAAACATTAGATTACAGAGAATATTTCCCTAAATTTTTAAGATAACGTAGTACTTAAAAATTACATAAACAAAGGCACTCAAGTCATTTTCTTAAATTATGTTTTACAGATAAAGTCTCCATAAAACAACATTAGATCTGTTGCCAGTTTGTCAACAAGTCAAAACAGCTACTGTTGGGTTAAAAACACAGCTACTGTTGAGTTAAAAAAATCCTTTCTACGATATTTTAAACTTAAAATAAATAATCTGTTTCAAATCAGCTAATATTCATCAAATAAAGTTCCAGAAAAGTATATTCTATTTTTACAAGATTTTAAAAACCAACTTGTGTTTACAAATGTCTCAAGAAAAAAAAAAAAGAAAGTGGATGACGATGTTACTGAAAGAAAAAGAAAAAATTGAAAGATATCAATATAATTCTTGTTTGAAATATACCAGAGCATTTTGCTTAGTGGAAATAGTAAATTTAATCCTTTAGCATTCAATTAAAGCTAAAATTAAAACTTTAAACCTTAGCCATAAGGATTTGTGTGGAGGTAAATGAAGACTGAAAACATTTTGCTAGA